TGAAAGGAATAGATCATCAGAGGAATTATAATGATAATTACTTCCTTAGAAAACTTGAAAAATCTTTATGGGATGAATTTAACAGGGTTATTTGAAAAATCTAGATGCAAATGGTTAAATTACAGTGATCAAAATACTAAATACTTTCATGCCACCTCTATCATCAAAAGGAAAAGAAATTAAATCTTATCTCTCAAATTCGATAATGACACTTGGATTCAGGATCCGAATACTTTAAGGAGTATGGCTGTCACTTATTTTGAAAATCTCTTTAAGGAAGATGCTCGTTAAACACATCTCATCACTGATAAGAGATTTCCACCTCTATCTACTTTACAACTACATGCTATCCATAGGGAGGTTATCGAGAAGGAAATCAAGACTGTGACTTTCAATATTAGAGCCTATAAAGCCCTTAGTCCAAATGCTAACAATGCCGATTTCATCTGTACCTATTAGAATGATCTTAAAACTAGCATTGTCAAACTCATTAAAAAGGTCTTCATCAATCTGAACACCATTAGTGAGATAAATGATACCTTCATTACTCTCATCCTTAAAATGATAACCCTACTGGTATAAAGAACTTTCGACCTATATCTCTCTGTAATGTGTAAACACCCTCAAAACTTACAGACCGATTTTTGCAAATATTAAAAACCATTATCATGGTAGAAAATTTTCTTACCATGATACATCCAAGACATAACGCAAGTCTTAAAAATCCAAAAAAGACAATTAAAACCATGAGGGATAGACATAATCCTCATGGCATGATATTCAAATCAGATCATAAATCAAGAGGGACAGACATAATCCTCTTGGTCATATAAATACTTTTAATAAAAGGATTAGAGTTTACATGCTTCACAAAGAAGATATGTCCTAAGTTGGCACAAGATACATTGTATAATCCAAAATAAGAGGCAACGTAAAAGATGGTGTCTCATACACCATAGTTACACTCTGGGCTTTCTCGGGGACTCGATCCTGTAAAAAATATAACCACGGGGAATGAGACTTAAAAGTCCCAGTAACCAAAAATTAATATGTAATGATGCATGCGGTTGTAACTAATCATGCGATTGCTAAGTGGGCACACAAAATATTTAACCGAATAATATTTTCAAACAAACCGAACAAGTATTTTAATTTACATGACTACATCTTATATCCTCCTTTCGCCATGCTCGGACGCCAAATCATCCGACCAAAGGTGAGTTGGACCAAGCGATACGCTACTCATTGGGTCCAATGAGGGCTTACCACGTGGTAATAATTAACCGAATAGAAATTTCCATTAAACACCATATATTAAATACCTTGACAAGTCATGCATCATTCAAATATCCAAACAGGAATAGATCCGGAACAATAATATCTCATCATGATAAATAAAAATAAATTTTGGACCCACTTGGCAATAATTCAAACAAGTATATAACAGTATTTATTTTCAATAATCATAGTTTTTCAAACAAGAAGTCAACACATAACTATTCACAAACACACTCATCACAACACATTAATAATGGTTACCTTGTGTCTGAATAACAAGTTCCCCTTCACAACTCCTTTTCACCACTATCTTTGTCAATATAATCTACATAATTATTTCACACTACTATATAGTAATTTTTACATTAAAATAAATAACTCTAATTAAAGAGTTAGAAAGTCTTAGATCTAATCCATATTAATACTAATTTAAGATTATGCCTCATTTAACTTTCCAAATTTTTTTTCGAAAATTCTCGTACCTAATAAACTATTTTTTTTATCCTTAAATCACTTCTCGTATCACAATTTCATCCTTCTATATTCTAAAAATTCATCTAAAAATAAATTAAAAATTTTAGAATTATCCTGAAGCCTCAAATCACCTTTCTATAACCTCAAAAATACCTATTTACTTAAATAAATATTTAATAATCATAGTTTTATCCCTACATCTCAGATTCCACATAAATTCAACCATATAGATCTAGATTTTAACTCAAAAAATTTTTAAACATGAGTTTCAACCTCAAAAAAATATTCTCTAATATTTATTATATCCCTAAGAGTTTTAACCTATATTTTTAATCCATCATATCATCAGATTAACTATCATATAAAAAAATTTTAATCAGATATTTACTCTATCCTACAAAAAATCATATCACTAAAAAATCTAAAAGCTAATATTATTTAGAAAATAACTATAAAATTAATTTTGTAATTAAATAAATTTTTAAATGCTAATCTAAACAGGAAGTTAGAACATACCTGAAGAAAAAGAAAATAATCCCCCCTTGCGAGAAAACGCCGAGCAACGTGAGAGGAAGAGAGAAAAATAATATAAAAATGAGATTATGGTCTCAAAATTATATTAAAAAAAATTATAGGTTTAAATTTAATTATTCAAACCTTTGGGCCATTACTTGCAATTTTCACAAATTGCATCTTGGGCCCTTAATTGCAATTTTCACAAATTGCAATAAAAAATTCTTATGCTTCCTCCACAATGCACCTCCTCTTTTTATACATGAGGAGGTGCCTTTCATTCCCACATCTAACCGATGTGGGACTAAACCCCCTCCCCTTTTTTTTTACTTTCTTTTCTTTCTTTTTAACTCACACACACACATTAATAATATTTTTTTAAATCTTAAAATTATATCTTAACAAAATATTTCTTATATAATTTTAAACTTAAGTTTTTAATTCATAATTAAATGCCTAACCATATTATTATTTTCAAATAACCTCAAATAATATAAATTCCTATTATTATCATCATTTTAAAAAAAAACTTAAATTTCATAAATTTTTTTTATCTAAAAATTAGGATGTTACAAATGTCAGCTATAAAATCATAACCAAGATTCTCTCTAATCGTTTTTATTAATGCATGAACAATCTTATTAGGGATTCTCAATGCAGCTTTATCCAAGGTTGACAAAGTAGTGATAACATCATTATTGCTTAAGAAATTATTCACTCAATGAGGAATAAGAACAAAAAGAAGGGTTTTATGGCTCTTCAAGTTGACCTTGAGAAAGCTTTTGATAAACTCTTTTGGGACTTCATTGATGACACTCTTCATTCCATTAGTTTGAATAATCATTTTAGGAAATTAATTAGAGCTGCCATCTCTACTTCTCATATGAGGGTTCCTTGGAATGGTGAACCGACAAGTGAATTTGTACCCTCTCACGGCATAAAACAAGGAGATCCCTTATCTCCCTATTTATTTGTCCTTTGCATTGAACGTCTTAGTCACTATATTATTAGTTTCATTAATAAAAATAAGTGAAAGTCAATTAGATTAACAACTAATGGGCCTCCTATTTTTCATTTATTTTTCATTGATGATTTGTTACTCTTTGCAGAGGTATCTATTAACCAAGCTAGGATAATTCAACAATGTCTCTCAGATTTCTATAATGTATCCGGCCAAAAAGTTAACATTGAAAAAATCTAAGCTCTTCTATTCTAGGAACGTTAATTTTAATAGGGCTTCTTAGATTAGCACTGAATTAGGAATTCCCCTCACGGGTAATCTTGGCAAATATCTAAAAATTCTTTTAATCCATAAAAGAGCTTCTAAATTCACCTTTGCTCCCTTACTTAACAAAGCCTGCTCTCGCCTTGCCAATTGGAGAAGTCAGTTTCTTAACACTGCTGGGAAAACTATCCTCATTAATTCTGTCCTTTTGGCAATTCCTAGATATGTCATGTAGACCATGCTATTGCCAAACAAGGTTATAGCAAAATTAGAAAAAAAATTTGAGAAATTTTCTCTGAGACTCCTCTGATGGGCACAAAAAACCTCATCTTATCTCTTGGGACTATATTACTATAGAAAAATCTATTGGGGATCTTGGCATCAAAAATCTTAAGATCTAAAACATTGCCTTTATCATGAAACTTTATTGGGATCTTATCACTCAACCTAATCGTCTTTAGGTCAAGATTCTTC